GGAGGAGGAGGAGAAGCGGATCGGATCGGGAGAAAAATGGGGTGTGTGTGGGGGGGAGATCGAGGCTGAAGCTGCACAAACCGGTAACTTTAAACTCGAACCCCCTTTCTCGCCCCACCCTCCCCCACAAGGGAGGGCAGGGGACCGCTGGAGGAAAACTGGCAGCCCGTCTTCTGGCCACTTGGGGGCTTCCTTCCCAGGGCTGCTGGACCCCTCCCCGAGGCCCATCATCCACAGCCGGGCAGGTGGTGGGAGAGAGAGGGGGGATTAACCTTTGCAGATGTGGGGGAGGGAGAGTTGGCCTCTGGGGGTCCCTTGAGGAGAGAGAGAGAGAGAGTCAGAGACCCCTCGGAGAAGCTGGGAAGGGGCTCCTGGACCTCTGAACCCCCCAATTTGTTTGCAGGGAAAGTCCAATTGTGTGTGTGTGTACAGGTGTGTGTGTGTGTGTGTGTGTGTACACATATGTAGAGTGTTTCTGCGAGAATCGGGCCAGTTCCCCCTACACGGGTAGTCCTCGACTTTATGACCAGAATTGGAGTTCGACATTCCTGCTGTTAAGCGAGACGTTGGTTCAGTGAGTTTTCGGCCCCGGTTTCACCCCCTTTTCTTGCCACCGTTGTTAAGTGAATCGCAGCAGATAAGTTAATGACACGGTTGTTAAGTGAATTTGCCTTCCCCGCTTGGCTTGGCTGGTCAGGAGGTCGCAAAACGAGGATGCTGCAGCCATCATAAATATGAGCCAGTTGCCAAACATCCGAATTTTGGATCACGCGACCCTGTGGGGGGATGCTGCGACGGTCGTAAGTGTGAAAAACGGATTATACGTGCCTTTTCCCCCCCAGTGCTGTTGTAACTTGGAATGGTCATTAAATGAATGGTCGTATGTCGAGGACTGCCTGTGTTTCCATTTTAGGAGGAAAAGAACCCCAAAAGGGAAGGATTGGCTGATTGTCGTCCACCTTGTGAGTCTGTTTTGTGCGTCCTTCCTTCCTTCCTTCCCGGCCCAGATGACCCGATTGCTGTTCATTATTTTCCTCTAAAAAAACCCGGGGAGGAAAAAAAAACCCTCTGCAGATGCTCAGAGACCAGGGCAGGCTTCAAACCAGCGAGATGCAACGTTGTGCCGGAGCCTGGCTTTGGTTTCCGGGGTCCCTTAACCTCAGATCATGAGATCACCAAGGTCACCTCTCCGGGTGTGTGTTGTTTGAAGGGACACAACAGCTGAGTGTGATTTGTGCCGGCCAGGTGTGAGGGTGTAAAAATTCTTGGCAACAGGGTTTGAGAAAGAGACACCCAGTTACTGAGCGGAGCCAGTGAGTTATATTTAAAAAGTTGTGCAAGGAATTACACGAAGGTGCAATTGAGATTGTGTGTGTGTGTGTGTGTGTGTGTGTGTGTGTGTGTGTGTGTTGGGTTTCTCCGAAGTGCTAAACTGCTCTTTCCTGAATTGTGGGGAGTTGTGTTTCCTTCCCCTTGGCCTTCTCCGGCTTTTGAGGTTTCTTTTGTGTCCTTGAGGACTAGTCCTTAAAAAGCCTTTAATCTTTCAACAGCAGGCGGGCCAGTTCAGGGAGGCAGGAAAGCAACTCAGAGGGTGGCTTGTAGAAGAGGAAGAGGGGAGAGAAGGGGACCGGGCCCATACAAGGTTTTGGGGGGGGGTGGGGGGGAAGTGGAGAGAGGTTCCCCCCTTTGGTCCTTTTTACTGGTTCCAACTCTCCTTCCTGGGGGCTGAGCCAAAACATCCTGCAGAATCGGTTTTCTGAATTAAATCTGAGAGAGCAGAGAGAGATATGGGGGAGAGGGGGATTCTGGAAGACCCTTTCCTTTCTCCCCCCCTTCTCCCCCCTC